AAATTATTATATAAGCGAGGAATTTTATTACTCTCATGTAGTGGTTGAGAACCTTCTTTGGCCTTTCGTAATACATGTAATATGAAATACTATATTATGTATGCGAAAAACCATTAAGTATGTGCTTGTTCTGTAAAAGAGCGAAGTATATTTAGAGACAAATTAGAACATATATTTAAAATTGTATTATTTAAAAGGAAAAGTCGGGGAATACGATATTTTTTTGTAAAAGCTCAAGTTAATAGACACCATTGCCTAATATTAGCTTTTTGTGTGAAAAAAATTGACTTATCAACGGCTCTGATTAGATTTTTCGATATCTGGCAATGCCCTTTAAGCTTCAAAAGAACTTTATCATTGCATATCACAGGAAGTTGATTTATTTATGATCCTCCCATTGCATAATATATAATTTTACAGATGACGTAATTGTAGGCTGATTTAATTTTTTTTAATATATATCTATGAGTTTTATATAAATGTTAGGTTATTTAATAAACTAATATGACAGTTGGCAATATTTGAAGTATTAACATATGACCTCTCGAACTTGACAAAAACCAAAATGGTGTCGAATTAGTTCGGCATCCGCTCAAAGCGCTCCAGATTTTTTGTGATGTTTTTTGTAAGAAGAAAGTCCCGTTTTAACTAAATTTACAGGAATTGATCTGGTTTCCACATTTCTAACCGACGAAAAAAGGAGGAGGTTCTCAATTCGACTCGTATTTATGTAGGTATATATATATATTTTTTTTATATTTAACCACGCATCGTTTTTTTATCGTGTAGTCTTTTGGATAGGGTTTTTGGATTGGATAGGATAGGGTGGGTATAGGTACCTTAAAGATGGTTCCATTTAAATTTGAAAAAAATCAACCCCTGAATTTTTAAAATACTTTAAGGTAAGAATACCTTGCTATTACTAATTCTACACTAAAAAATAAAAAGAAACTTAAAAAAATAAATAAAAACGAAGTTAAAAAAAAAACAACACTAGAAAAAAATAACTGATTGGCAGTTTTCTTTTACTATAGATACCTAATCAGATATTTTCGAAGTCGGTAATCGGTATCGGCCAGACGATACAAATCAAAGCACACCGACTTCGAAAATATCTGATTAGGGATGTATAGTTACTAGGTAAATGAAAACTACCAATCAAATATTTTTAATTTTTAGTGTTTTTTGAAGTCGGTATTTATTTATTTTTTAAGTTTTTTTTAAGAAATTGTACCTATAGTGTATGTATATGTATTATGAGGTACAAAATTATTTCTTCAGCCTACAAAAGTACCATCTGCTACTGCTTCTTATTAATGACATTTTTCAAATATAATACTTTAAAGCAGTTTTCCCTATTCATTAATTCTCCACCACTGACCTGTCCAATATTTAAAAAAAAAGATATAATCGACTTTCTTTGTCTATGTACGTACACCTGCTTACCTTTGCTTGTGTTGCACAAGTTCCCATCGGAGGGTATGATTTCTGTACATTATTCTATCCTTGTCACTCCTTTGTATTTTCACGTTGTCCTTTTCATTACCGCGTCCCTTTAGGGGTTTTTACGTTTTTGTACTCTTCACCCCTATTGCATACGAGCCGTGTAGGCGTGTGTGCGTGTATGGGAGAATTAAGGATAGTTTCTACTCTTACATTAGTGTGCCCCAGCCCTTCAATGCGTGTGCGTCAAAATGTGTTAGAGTTTTGGCGGGAAATATTTGTTTTGTTTTATTTGTGGTTTGTTTAACATAATATAATGGATTTAAGTGGTTAAAATGATTTGGTTAATGCATCGGCGTCTCGTTTTTGGATAGTTCATCGTGATGTTATATGAGTAAGTGTGCTATTTAGCTTCCCTGATGTTGTTATGATTAAATTTTTTGTTTACCTTGCTTTGTGGTATGGATATTATTTTGTTTATAACTTATTATCCGACTGCTCATGAAGGAGGGTAATGTTTTTTTGAATGTATGTGTGTTAAATCATAAATGGATTTTAACAAATTATGTAGTAGAATCATAATACTTTCTTAGATTTATTCTTAATACTTTCTTTAGATATTCGAGTCTCTCCCGTGACCATGATTGCTGTAAAGCATTCGAAACGTCGAGCACCAAAAATCAAAATAAATCCGCGAAATAATCCGAAAAGATACTTTAAGTAGAATTGTCGTAATTTTAGTCTTGTAAGTTGTAACGATATATTTTACAACTTTGTTCTGTAACCTCTACAAGGCAAGTACATATATTATTATAATATTTCACTCTATCACTACCGCTCTACTTTTCATTTTATTCATGGCCTACTTTTGTTTAAAGTCGTCATTATGAAGGCTTGTACTATATGTATGACTAGCATTGCCCGCGGCTCCGCCCGCGTTCAGATGACCAAAAAAAAATTCTTAGATTTTACATATTAGTATACTCTTACATTGCAGCTTTTTGTATTTTTTCCCAGAAATGAGATATTTTCCCGCGGTAAAAAGTATCCTATATGTTGACCCGGATAACTAGCTATCACCATACCAAATTGCATCAAAATCCCTCCAGTGGTTTTTCTGTGATGCGCTAACCGACAGACAGACAGACAAAAATTCTAGAATAATAAACTATAGATTCGGCCTCGGTGTCGATAATAATGTCTATTTCAATAAGATTTTCCAAAAAAATATTTAATGTGCAGATTCGGCTTAGTTACAATTTTAATTCAATAATCATATTTAACTCTCTTTTTGCAGTTTCAAACCAAATATATTGTATTATATATGTATATGTAAAAAATACAAGTTTAATTGCTTTTGTTAATAAAGTTTTATGTAGATCAAAAGTAAAAAATATTCGACACGTAGCTGTATAAAAAGTATTATTCCATTCCGGTTTTGTTTGATTATTATTGATTCGGGATCGCCTCGTCTGGCTCTAGAGGCCTCATGTAGTATCAATGACATCATATTACGAAGTTGAGAATAGTAACTTAGATGTAATATAGTTGTTGGTTTTCGGAAACCTCAGTATATTAATATTTTCTTATAATGATAAATTAAAGATATATTTCATATTTAAGTTCATTTTGTTTAAGTTTCCTTCTTTGACATTGTTTTTATATTTGTTTTGAGTGCAATTGTAAATTTATTGGTATGTACACTTAAAAGGCCGTCACATCGTTTATTTAATGAAAATGTAGAAATAAATTTATTTTATTTGAATATTATTTGACTTAATCTTTGAGATTCCGTAATTTTCATATTACCCAATTTTAATTATTAAAATTAGGTTCGCCTCTACAAAAACAAAAACATATCTATCCCACGGGAACCGCACCATTCTCCGGGATAAAAAGTAGTCTATGTGTTATTCTGATGTATGAGCTATATTATTGTAAAGTTTCATCAAAATCCATTCAGTAGTTTTTGTGTAACAAACATACATCCATACATACATTCTTACAAACTTTTGCGTTTATAATATTAGTAGGACTTTTTTTTACTTTTGTTTTCTTTAACTATTGTGCCTTGATATTTCATTTTTATATTAGTATATATATAAAAGCAATATTTTCTAAAATCGTTGCATCAATTAATATCCTCGCGTCAATGTCTTAACACGATATGAATGAGACACAACTCGTTCTCAATCAGCTGATATTTGGCACGCATAAATTATTTTATTTTTACTTCCATTACCTAATCGAAAGTATGGACGATTATAAAGCTTCCTTAAACCGGAATATTTTACATTAAAACTTGTTTCTTATATCAAAGAATGCTTATCTCACAGATATATCAAATGTAGACCTTATATAGTACTAATGTAGAGTTATAATCGCATAGCCTATACTAACATGAGGTCGCATTAAACTTGGGCCGGTCTTCTGGGAATTTTTGTTCTGTGTCTACAAATTGAATGAATGGCGCCAGGATTTACGTATAAAGATAAATTCTTAGGCTGTTAGTATGGTTTGTGGCTGTAAATGATTTTTTTGCTTCGTCTATTTTCTACCTGTAGCGAGTTAATGTTGAATAAGTATATTGTGGGAATACTTAAATGAAAACATATTGTACGAAAATATTTAGTATAAGATAAGACTACATAATTATGATACTAAAACGAGCTCTAGCTTTGTCTATACATCGAGTGTAATAAGGAATGAAGAAACAGACAAAATTAATTTCATTGCACGTAATATTTAAATTATATGAAGCTCCATATTATTGATATTTTTTATGTAAAACTAATATATATATATAATAACGTTCGAAAGTATATAAATATATATTTTTTTATGACTTTTTACAATTTAGTCGCTGTAATTAATACTGACATTTCACGATAAGTGAGCCGTAATTTCTAATCCCATTCCTTACTTGCACGGGCTGTACACATAAATTAGAAGATATACATTATACATGCATAAAGTTATTCTTTGTAATCTTCACAATTAGGGATAATATAGGTAGTCTGTATTTTTTGCACGAAATGTAAACATTGATAATAAAGTGTAGGTAATATTATATACCTAGGTAATATTACCTATATAACATATATATAATTATTAATAATTACCTATGTTATATTTTTCCATGAGACTGCTTTAAATCAGAAAATACTAGTATATGTTATAGTTAACTTTATTTTAGCTATACATATAGTAAAGCTATCTTCTAAACAACAGTGTTACTTTGATGAGTAGTATAATGAGTAAGGACCTAAGCGACCGACCTCTTCGCTCGGCGTGTAAAATCGTATTTTCGGTAAAAATGCAACAATTGCGTTTTTTTAGAAAAGACATTCATATAGATACACTTAAAAAGCAAAACCCTATCTAAATTCATACGACATTTGTATTTCTATCCAAAACGTTAGAGCCGTTTACGAGATACAAGAGATAAATTTATATACCTAGGTGAATACAAGAATTGTACATTCAATATTATAAGATTATTAATAAGATTTGTTTTAATATACGTTTTACTTTAGTGTAACAAATCCTCTTTACAGACGCAGTGGCTATGATTCAGAGTCTAGCGAATATTCCGAAGACTCGGCAGCATATGAAGATGTGCCGGCTGCAACCAAAAGCACTGGGGCGAGGAAGAATGTCAATAAGGGGAAGTGGACGAAGGATGAGGTTAGAAAAAAATATGTACATATATCAGACCATTATTATAATATAGTAATTATGTTTGTGCATGTGTGTATGTTTGTTACTCCTTCACGTTCAAACATCGATCAAAGTACTAGACACACAATCCCATGCAAAAGTTCTCTTAAAACTGTCACCAATTGTGTTTAGGTAAATATTCTAGTTGAAATAAATATACAATAATGTAAATTGAACCTTAAATGTAATGCTTAAAACTGTTTTCATATATATATTTTTTAATTAAAAGCGCGCTCAAATGTTCAAATGAGCGCTCATTTGGTGAGTACATTTTTTGTCGCTGATTGTGTATCTAGTACATACTTTTTTGATCGATGCGGTCAAATGACTGGAAGGATTAGATATATTTTTGAACTACTAGGCTACTTTTTATCCCGGAAACATGTACGGTTTCCGTGGGATAGGTTTGTTTATGTTTTCCTAGAGGCTGACCCGAAAGTCTGAGCCCTGAAGCGAGGGTAAGCCGCTAGTTCTAATATTTTAAATATATAAGTTACTTCTATATTCAGTTTTGTTTAAGTACACGCTAACTAGTTTTTTTTAATAATATAGTTTTCGCCCACGACTTCGCTCGCTTTCATATATGTATATAAAAATAGTGAATTAAATAGTAAGAAGACATGTGTACAGCTATTGTTGAAACAAATATCTCTTTATTATCATGTGAAATATAAAATAAAGCCTTTATATAGGTATGTATGCATTCATTAAAATTTACTACACCTAATATAAATATCAATTTTATTCACGAATAATATATTCGAATAGAATATATCTGGTGATGTCATCAATGACTTCAGTCTAAATTAATTTGCAACTCGAAATCTTCTCTGTTCTCTACAGTTTATCTACTGGGTCAAAAGTTTACAATAATGGTCAAGTTTCGACACAAATCTGAATGAGGCTTACTTATTAATTGTTTTTTTTTATATGTACTTCAATTTGATAAGAATTTATCTCACTGTTCTACTTATCTTTTGTTGCTGAATATATTTTTTATTACTGCATATTATAAATGCAATTAAAAAGCTATAAAATAAGATTATTGAGACTACGGAAAATATGTATATTAATGAATTTTTAATAGTGTTGCCTTTAACGTTTTTACGTTAAACTCTAATAAATAAACAAACTGACATTCTACAATCGCTATTGTTTATAGAAATCTAATAAAAATTGTATAGAAAATAGAAATGACTCATTGAATCGATTATTAATTCATTTAAAATCAATCATTTCAATGTAAATTTTTTACTTTTCTATTAACGATAGCTATTGTAGAAAGTTAATTTATCTATGTTACTTTAAATTTTTAATTATTCCGATACAGGATAGAATGCTTAAAATGTTAGTCAAGAGCTATAATGAGAATTGGGAGCTAATAGCTGCCGAGTTCTCAGACAGATCAGACGTTCAATGCCAGCAAAGATGGTCGAAAGTCGTCAATCCTGAACTAGTCAAAGGCCCTTGGACAAAGGAGGTGGGTTTAAATTATATATATTTATACCTATATATTTCTCAGGTTCTTTATAGATTTACTTTAGAAATTTTTAAAATTTCAAATCCTTGCAGTCGATAACTTACCTGTAAAAAGTATCGATTTAAAACTTTTCGATCGATTGATCGCATGACATACACACACACATATATATATATATATATATATATAATCTAATGCCATTACACATATGTATGAGACCAACATTGAGGTATAGTTTTGTTATTTTTTTTTAATTAAAATCTTTATTGCTTAAGATACACAAAAAATGCCCGAATGGAGCAACTTAACCTTTTTAATGAGTAAAATAACAGTTTTATGCTATGTTAATACATAATCAATAATTAAAATATAAAAAAATTAAAATAAAGTCTTATAGACAGACACTAGCAATACGTTTAATACTCAAAAGTAATACAAAGAAAGTTAAACATGTATGGAATGTATTCATTTCCGCACCACAAAGGTAAAATTAATGCATAGCGCGTTTTTCTATAGGTATAGTATCTATAATACGGCCAAAATAATGAATTAAAAATAAGTTTAGGTCTTATTTTTCCTATGCCAACTTTATATTATTACCTATAATTAATCTGATTATCGAGATATCGTGACACATTTTGTTAAAATATGGTAAAAAAGATGTTAAATTATTACTAAAATATTTCGAAATCTTGAAATTAGGAATAAACAATTAAAATTTAGTCTCAATGACATCGTTGGAAATGGTTTGAATATTTAAATTGTGTACAAAACGTGAATGTTGGATGGAAAAAATATAATAAGTTTATTTATTGAATTACCTACTCGTATATTATAATCTTAATCCCTCCACGACCGCGGACACGCAGGCGTGTCAGTTAACAATAGATTTCTTAGAATTTTAATTAATTTCTTAGAAATGTATCTTAAGGTGTTAATTTAATTATTTGTTACTAAAAATGTATACCGTTAATCCACTCTTATAGATGTGGAGTTTTCATGGGACCACCATGGACGTTTAACTTATTCATTAAAAACATAATTATAAAAATTTGTTGACAATTGATGATCATATCTCCCGTACACTCCCTACACACACAAAAAGCAGTCGAATCACCTTCAGTTTTAGTACTTTCTCTTTTTTGAAGTAGGTCAAATATAATATCTTCGTGATGGAATTTCGATCACGGCGGCCAATCTCATTAAGACTAGCCTTCTACGCAGAAGATATAGTGCAGTGTACAAGTTTAGTTCATATTCCCGACTTGCGAATCACCCTCGCTGCGCTCGGGTTCTCTTTTCACAGAGATGAGATATTTTCCCGCATTAAAAAGTATTCTATATGTTGACCCGAATAACCAGCTATCATCATACCAAATTTTATCAAAGTCCCCCCAGTGATTTTTCCGTGATGTGGTCACAGACAGACAGACAATCAGATAAAAATTCTAAAAACTATAGATTCGGCCTCTATATCGATAATAATGACTACTTCAATAAGAATTTCCAAAAAATATTTAATGTACAGATTTGAATTGTTAGAATTTTATTATTTGTATAGATTAGTGAAGTTTATTATACAATCTGATACATAGGTCAAGTCATATCCTTTTCCAAGTCTGGTAAGTCTAGACTACTACTAAAATATATTTTTATCAAAACTGCCCGTCACGGGACTCGAATCCAGGACTTAGATTAATCATAAGTTACTTAGATTAATCATAACTACCTAAATAAATATAATAAGACAAGATAATTTATTATTCAAAGAAAGTAAACGGTAATAAACGGAAGTGGTTAAAATATAAACAAATGCAATACGAGGCATTCGCCATTGAGTCTAACGCAAGTAAGATGATTCATAGGTCAGTAACATGCACAATATGTTGCATCGTTCATTCATAGTGACCTTCGTCGTTGTCTTAACTAAATGTGATGTGGTTTTCTCGTAATAAGCATTTCTAATTTAGATTTAGATTGTTCATATTATTTTATTTCTATAACCTATAAACAAACTATACCACGAGAAATGCGTTTTGAAGAGTTATATGTCTGATGTTTAAAACCGAGTCAGTGAAGTGAGATAAAATAAGTTCTAATTTTTATGTATATTCAAAGTTAAATCAATAAATTCGGTCCACTAGTTTTTGTGTGATCAAACAAACACATAAATATATTTTTTTTATATCTTTTGTACACAAATACAGCTCAGCTCTTATTTTTGTTACAATTTTATAAGAAACATTTGTAGGTATATTAAATACTAGCGACTCACCCTCGCTTCGCTCGGGTTCGTGCCTGGTGATTCTTTAAATTGACATAACTATTTTATTTATGCGCCAATGGAAATAAACATTAAATGTCAAGTGAAGCTTACCACAATACATTATTAAGAACCGCACCTAAATTGGTTAGCCCGCTTCTGCGATTATCGCGCACAAACGCACAGACATACAGACAAAAGTTGTAAAAATCATTGTTTTGGGATATATTACGTTAACAATACTTTTTCTCGAATATCTTCCACATACAGACAGCGATCAGATACAAATCATAACTTTATTATACTCGTATGTATGATCGTATGTATGATTACTATAGAAGGTACATTCTTAAGAAAAAAAAAACGTATGTATTATCAAAAAGTACCGTAACCATGATATCTATATTACTATACAACCACGTGAATTAAATCTCGTATTTAAATTTCATATTGATATCCGAAATAGCTGAATACATCTAACAATTCTTAGATTTTATGAATGAAACCCATTGTCTAAGGAATGCGTATTGAATTTTAAACGTTTTACACTTCGTATTACTGCTTTTTAATAGGCTTTGTAAAGGACACATAATATGACGAATGAAATCGTGCATTTTTTTTAGAATTAGTTACTATTGATAGCAAACTCTTTGGAGTTTATCCTAATATTATAGTTTATGTATATGCTTAAGTGTTGGCCGAAGTCAAAAATCGTTTTTTTTCTAATAATCTTTAACCTGTTCACCTATCGCCCATATATTATGTATGTTATACTAATATACATACATATGTCAAATAAGTTGTAATAGACATACTGACATACAGACTTATTGTTACCTAAAAGAATTCCGTTTGGTTCACCATACAACCAAATTCCAAAGAATTATAAAAATATTAAGCATTTTCATGGTTAACATATTATCATATTCATTTATTTACTTAAAATTTATACTCTATATATACATATATCAAATTTATAATAACATCACTCGCGATTACCACACGTTTAGTTCATTCAAATTCATTCTATCCCCGCCTCCATTTTATGGCTTTAATTTAAATATTGACGTAATAAAGCAGCTGTTGATATCATCTGTTAAAATTAAATGATAGGCAACTTTAAATCTTTAATTTATGTGACACTCATATGAAGACTTGCTGTTAATTAAAAGATATCTATTATCTACATACATACATATATAATTGAATTTTCGTAGGTGGTCTTATATGAAAGTGCATTGTTAGAATAACCAAATTAATTTTGGAGGTTATACGTGCTTCTTTTGGCACGTTTGGAAAAAAATATGAGAGTAAAGTTTTACGATACGCGTGCACACCAACAGCCAAAAAGCGACATGATGAAGTTAGCTGAAAGCGACAAGATGAAGTTAGCTGCATTCCTTTTACAAACAGAGAGTTGAGATATACAGGATGAAATATTTAGCTATTTTTGTCTTGTTACGCCAGAGAAGTATAACTTCTCACGTGCGTACATAAGTACACACATACTTTTTTTAATGTGGCGTTTTAAATAAAATATCATATATTGACTCATAGTGTTATTATAAATGTTAGTCTATTTTAATAATAAGAAGGTACTCAAATCGGCTTTTTGCCTGAAGTTTAATTGTATTGTGATTTCTTCGCTATATGAATAGGTTATAAGTTATAAGTTCAAGAATGGCTCTATTTAAAGATAATTTTGAAGTTTATGCGCCTTTTTATTGGATTATATTTTTGTTTATCTAAATACATTTACATATACTTTAAATAATGGTTTCATAAGATTTTTTTAAACAACAAAACCACTTTATGATGACATGCTAATAAAAAAACAAAAAAAGCTAACTTTAAATTATAATATATTGGGAAAAACCAAATTTAATATTTATTGACAGATCAAAATCATTTCCTATTTCGACTTGTTTCCGAAAATGGTAATATATAATTTATATTTGAACTATAATATCCTGTATGATCAAATGGAATGCCGTCTAAGGCGTGACTGTAACCATAACTTAGTTTTTTTGTTTTATATTTTATGCATATGTGTATAAAAACTAGCGACTCACCCTCGTTCCGCTCGGGTTCGTCCCTACTTATGTTTTCATGTTTAGTATAGATTTCTCAGAGATGAGATATTTTCCCGCAGTAAAAATCATCCTATATGTTGTCCTAACATCATACCAAATTTCATAGACATCCCTCCAGTGGATTTTTCGTGATGCGGTCACAGACAGACAGACAAAAATTCAATAAACTATAGATTTCGCCTCTGTATCGATAGTAATGTCTATTTCTATAAGATTTTCCAAAAAACATTTAATGTATAGATACGGTTTAGTTAAAATTTTATAATAATACTAGCATTGCCCGCGGCTCCGCCCGCGTTCAGATGATTAAAAACCAAATTCTTAGGTTTAACATATTAGTATACTCTTGCAATGCAGTTTTTGTATTTTTTCTAAGAAATGAGATATTTTTCCCGCGGTAAAAGGTATCCTATATGTTGACCCGGATAACCAGCTATCACCATACCAAATTTCATCAAAATCCCTCCAGTAGTTTTTCTGTGATGCGGTTACAGACACAGACAGACAAAAATTCTAATAACTATAGATTCGGCCTCTGTATCGATAATAATGTCTATTTCAATAAGATTTTCCAAAAAATATTTAATGCACAGATTCGGCTTATTCACAATTTTATTATATGTAAGAATAGATGTATAGAAAGA